ACCTTTCTCAAAATCGAACTACGACTTTTCTCATCAGATTATCTCGGTCGCATATTCTCAGGCCGCGGATGTAATTTACAATCTACCAGGAGGCTCTCTCTTTCTCTCTCTCACTCACTCATTCATTCACTTACTCACCCTTCGCACTCGACGGTCGAACTCTCATTATCGCCGATTGGCATTTTAATTATTATCGGTACTTCTCTCGATTTTCTCCGCTTTCTTTATCCTTCTCGCATTTTTCGTGATTATATTACAGCGGGACACAGATTTTCGCTAGCGTGAAAAAAATGATCGATTTTTTACAAAAAATTCGTTTAAATATCTCGTTTTCTGGGTAGCCTGCGCGTTAACAAGACTGAGAAGCAAAGATATTAATCTATCGGGCGAGATGCTATCGCCCACGAAACGTGTGCTCCCGCGTTTTAGATGCGTAGTAGTTCTGAAACTCACTTGAAACTTCCCTCACGTGAGAGATATTCGGATCAGTATTTAGAGTTGGATTTGGGGTTTTTTGAGGACTTGAGCCACATAATGCATGAGACACTATGTACATGCGTATGTAATCGCGATTCAACTGCGGAATCCAACTCTAAATTCAGATCCAAGTATCTCGCCCGAGGCCGGCTCCAAGTAACGACTATTAATACGGCCCTTAGTAACCTCGATGCAGTTATAATCGATTCGCCGACTGAACATCGAATTATGTCGCAGCAGTTGACTGTTAGAGTTGGCCGGGATATTCCGCGCGCCAGTAATCACCTGACCCTTTGGTAATTGCCGATGTCCTTCGTTCGCGATGTCAATTACGTGTTCCATGTGGACTCGCCTGCTCTCGATGTTAATCCTTCTACGCTCGTCCTGCGAATTCCGTCGCGCCCAGCTGCTCCGTATCTGCGGGAGTCACAGCTGCGGGGAAATTCGCTATTTCGAGAGATTCGAAAATTTACTTTGCTATTGCCAGTCAGTTTTTTCTATTTTTTAGCTGTAATGTCATTCCGATTTTAATGAAAAATTCAATTTCAGCGGAAAATATTTATGTTCTAAAAATGGCACCATTTATGTTTTAAAAGGACCATTCCTCTTTTAAGATAAATACTAAAAAAAGCACATGAGCAAAACATATCTTATATCGATCTCCACGCGAATTGCAAACCTCACCGGTCATGCGCTGAGTCGTTCTAATGGCGCGCCTTTTTCGGACACCCGTGCGTTCGGAATTTGCCCGACAATTTGTCGTTAATGGAGGTAGAAAATACACACACATGGCGCGCGCCGCCGGCCGGAGTAAAATAGATTCTTTCGAGAATGTCAGCTTTCACGGCGTACGTCACGAGAACGACGTAGAATCGCGCCGGAATGAGCGCCGTTAGTCACTGCAGTCGCGCCAAAATAATCCCCGTGAACTTTTTTATCGCGCTCGCGACCGCTATTATGGAACGTAAGTGCCGTGTGCGACCGGCGATTAAAAATAACGTCGTCGTCGTCGTATAAATACGCGCGCGTCGCCGCTCATCGATTTATCGACGAAATCGTACGTGTGTTTCTCGACGTTTCTCGCACGAGAAGCGTGGATTCGCCGCCGTCGCTCTTACGCGGAGAAACGCGACCAGGTCTTTCGCGTTGCGTGCCGGTCTTTTCGTTTTGCATAGTCCTGGAAGTCGCAGCCTTAACCTTTGCATTTAATTTACGACCTAAAGCTTCCTGCAGCCGAAGAAAAGCCCCGATAAGGGCTACTATTATTGAGATTAAATGCACGCGCGCGATACAGCCTCTTAATTACGACGATCTGATCGTCCGATTGCACGCGGGAAATTCGAGCGGACTGTCTTGGCAGCAGGAGGAGGCTATTCTGTGCTGCGCGTTAGAGCGAAATAACATCGTGCAGCTTTTAACGCGAACGCAAGAGCTATACACAGGAAAGTATTCTACCGCTGTAAGAGGAGCGATTATTCACTTCACTCTCCCTCTTTCAAGTAACGGTTATCTTTGATGAAAAATGTTTTCTCTTGACAATAGAATCGTAAGATATACTCATCCAAATCTTGAAGAGGCTTATTATCGTGTGTTCAAAAGAAAAATTTATTCTTTTTGCAGGAACAGTGTAAAACTTTATCCAAGAAAAAATTGCTTCGATTCTATGCACACTGAGAAGAAAAATATTTAAGATATAATATTTATTTAGCGGCTACTAACAGCATGTTCACGGACGTAAGATATTTTTAAAATAAGAAAATATACATTTTCTTGAAACTGTAGTTTAGTGTTTTTTATAAAAGCAATTATTTATTTTATTTAAATAAAAGTATTTAGATTTAGGTAAATATGCTGTTAGTATCATAAAATGAATATTTACTAATTTTTAGATATTTTTTTCTCAGTTTTTTCAGTTTTTTCAGCAAACAAAATTTTTGTTTTAGTTTAATATTCTTGTTTGAAACGCTAAACTTTCTATACTAAGTGAAAAATATTTAAAAATATTTAAAAATATCTAAAAATTAGTAAATATTTTGTTGGGTGGAAGGGGGAAGAGTGCCAATAACTTACTTATTTCAATCTAAATTCTTTTGTTTAAATAGAACGAACAATTCTTTCAAGAAAAGCTAAAGTTTTTTTAAGATTTCAGAAAAAATGTTAATTTTCTTGTTTGAAAAATACCTGATATTTCACTCTCTTATTTAATTAATTTTAATTAAAATTATTGAACTAATTTTTTAATTAAATACTTGTTTAATTATATATTATATTTTATTTTATATTATTAGCAGTCCAACGCCCTTTCACCATTTGGCCACTTTGTCCTATATATATTGTATATTATTATATATATATATATATATATATATATATATATATATATATATATATATATATATATATATATATATATATATATATATATATAT